TGGAATCAGAGTTCAAAAGCACCAACCTTGAATGCCTTGGATTTGGAAAAGGGTTTAGCTTTTTTCACAATTTCACAAGTAACCTACTCTGAGCCATATAATATTCCACATTTGTTCCAGTAGTAACATTTGATGTTCTCCTCAGCACGTGGGCCAGATCTACATGGGTAATCTTCTTGAACAGAAGAAGTACAATGAAGCAGCCAAGCTCTGCGTGACCATGCTTGGGTCCAATAGACAACTCTGGGAGGAAGAAGTTTACAAGTTTGCACAGATTCAGCAGCTGCGAGCTGTTGCTCCTTACCTACCAATAACAGATCAGAAACTTGATCCTGCCATCTACGAGATGGTTCTGAATGAGTTTCTTGAACATGACAGCAAGGTGAGAAAAATAAATTAACTACATCTTACTTTCTGTATAGGGTAAAAATAATACAGGTGAAATATTTAATAATTTATTGTTGTCATGAATTTTAAATCACTGAGAAGAATACGGTGGTCTCTCTCTCAATAACAGGTTTTTTTAAAAGTATTTTGGCAGTTTTATTAAACAGAGAGTTAAGTATTTCAAAGTTATAACCTAAATAAAGTCACAATCTTAAAGACTGGCCCGGCATGGCCAGGTGGTTAGGGTGCTTGACTCGCAACCTGAGGTTCGCGGGTTCGAATCCCCATCCCACCAAATATGCTTGCCCTTTCAGCTATGGTGGCATTATAATGTGATAGTGAATCCCACTATTTGTTGGTAAAAGAGTAGCTCAAGAGCTGGTGGTGGGTGGTGATGACTAGCTGCCTTAAATTCTTATTCATCACAGTTTAATGATGCCAATAGACATTTTCTGAACATTTAACAGTTTGACATGGTATACTAGAATAAAATGTTGCCTGTTAGGTTTTCTTTGTGCATTGATTTATTGTTGTATGTACGTATGTAACATTTCTGATCAGATCATTTACCACAAAAACAGGAGTTGTTGAGATTTTATAATATATTAGTAACATTTTAAATGAGTCATTTTCAGAAATTATTAATATGTAATAAATTTTTTCTCCCATACCAGGGATTTCTGAAGCTAGTGCAAGAATGGCCTAGTGACCTTTACAATATTCCAACAATAATAAAGGCAGTTGATTATCGTCTGACCTTTGACCCAGACAACAATCTGTTGTTACTAAGCTTAGGAGAGCTATATACATATGAGAAAAAATTTGACAAGGCCTTAGTTATTTACCTGAAGTAAGTTTCTATGTGTCTAATTTAGAACTTGATGTATCAGTATTGACATTCACATCTTTTATGAAGGTTACATTTCACCAAAAAATATTGTATTCAAAAACTTACTAAAACCTTTTTTTTTTTATGGCTGAAGAATATTTGTTTTAACAATATGTATTTGTATAATATATTCTATTTACAATTATCAAATGAACTATCAGTAGTAATATTGGCTAAACAATGGAGTTGGTACATCATCTACAGAGAATTGAGTACATTATTAAAACGATTTTGAATATGCACATCAGCAAGTCACATGACAACCACATCTGATGCAAAGTTGTAGTGAAACAGCATATATCAGAACTACATTTTGATGTTGCTTAGCATTTGACAGGCATTGTGATGCTCTCTTTTGGTAAGGGTAATAACGGTTCTTTCTGACACAAAATATTAACAGGTGTGTTCAGGTCAGAGAGTTAGAATTTCCTTGACAGGGATATCCATTTTACATAATGGCGTTAAAAAACAAAAGAATATGGATCAATGTGGGACACTGGAACCGTCCAAGAAGAACCCTGCTGTAAGTCTTACCCCAACTGTGTTAAGCAAAGTATGTCACCTTGTAACAAGTGAAAATCCATAAACACAAAGGTCAGTAACAAAAGTCATGTAAGTGCCCTAGGCAGCAGTATGCAACATAAGAAGGGTCTCCAAATGCTACAGTAGTTGTAATGTACACAAATGTCTTCCACAACATGCCTGTTCAACTGTAACATATCTTAGGTGGCTGGATAATGAAACTGGTATGTACACTGGATTTGTACAGGTGCTTGAAAACCTGGAAAGTTCCAGAAAACTGTTTTAACAAAATCCAATCCTGGAATAGCCTTAAAATTGGAATTTCTCATAAACTCATGGAAAGTCATGTATATTTTTTATTTAATTGTATACTTTTTTCTTGATCTACATGTTGCATTCCCTAGTTTTAAAACAGTGGCCCACAAATTTATCACAAATGATCCAACTCGATTTGGCAAATTGTTCATGCTTTTGGATTGGCTCACTGCCTTGTCTTCCTTTATGAGTTCTACATTTGCCAGAGCTGGTGGGTGAGATTGTGGCTGCTGCTTAATGATGGTTTAGTTAGCTGTATATTTAGTTTTTGAACACGCCAGAGCTGGTGAGTGAAATCCCATATACCACTGCACATATGCTTGGTGGCTGGTAGTTAGGAGGTAGTCACTACTGGTGGCACATTACTTCTAAAAAATCTGCATTTTTAACCATAACATCTGCTCTTTGAACATTATGTGCTAATCTTGACACTATACATCAGCATAACCTTTATGTTCCTGTTTGTGCCAAACTAACTTTGTGGATGAAACATGATAAAGCAAGATGGGTGTCATGTCAGCTAAATCAAACAACCAATCATGGGTTGGCCTTTTAAACCACAGCTTGTGAAACTTTAGAAGACATCGTTTGACAGACAGCCGAATAAGAACTTAATGTTGGAAGTTTGTAGTGGTTTGGTGTCCTGCTACACCTTATTGGATTGGATATTTCTAATTGTTTGCTATTTATGGGAAGTAATAATGAGTAGGGACAACAAACTATAAATTCA